TTATGAGCATTACATATATTTTTAAATATACTTATTTACAAAAGTTATACAAGCAATAAATAATACTGCGGTCTGTCGTGCATTTCGTAAGGAGAGGGCTTGTTGGACGATTCCCTGCCGAAGAAATCGTTTAAGCGTATGAAGGGGTCGGCTTGTAGGAAGGCTGTGGAGCCGCGTAATGGGCCTCTCCCTCGTAGCTGACCTCGGCCACGAAGCCAGAGTCGCCGTTGACGGAGTAGGTGACCTTCTGCAGACGACCGTCGGGAAGGAGGACGTAGTAGGAACCCTGGGCACCATAGCCATTGCGATCCTCCTGGTGACCGTAGTTGTTGTTAGAGTAGTCGTCCTTGACAGCGTAGTTGAAGTCGTACTTGCCGGGTGAGGAAGGCGCTGAATAATCATAGCCTGGGTCTCCTCAGGGCGGGCGAGAGCCATGGCCACGAAGGCGAAAGCAAAGATGAACTGAAAAACACGAAATATAAACAGATCACAATACACCTATTGTAGAATCCAATACACGCATGAAAACGAATAAAAATATCTCTTGTATGAGCAAAAGAAATAGAAGTCTTTGCATAATCCCTTCAAGTTTTTGTGCAATGAGAGAAGATATGACTACCTTAGCAAACATGTTGAGGAAGATGCAGAAGTGATGTAGTCTGTGAGGGCGACCTGCTATATATACTGCAAAGAAGTCGTAAAACTGGGGTTGAAGGACGCGCTTGAATGTAGTCAATGTTAATCTATTTATATCTTGTTCTGTCTTGCCTTTTAGTAGCAGATTACCAATGATTGTCTAAACGGCGTCCCATCTAAAAAACCGCCTTTCAAATTTTAGTCTTTATAGAGCGCCTGAGGAGGGCCGGATTTCCGAAAAGAAAAGAAAAAAATGTCCGTATGTATATATAGATACATGTTGGAACAAGAAGTTTATTTAACTCTTCATTCTGTGAAATCGTGATTTCTCCTGTTCTTATTTCTAACCAAATTAGGCTCTAAACCTATTACCATTCGGATACATAGAAAGTATACACAGAATAAAAGCCTTTCAATATACCCGAATATAATTACATTTTAGTGAAAAGATGGCTAGAAAAAAAAAAAATAAAAAGTTTACTGAAATGAGAAACGGCAAAGCCAATGTCAGTGTTGTGGATAAGCGGTTGTTGAAAGGAGTTTAGTATTGACTTTTCAGCCACAAACATTGCATTATTATCACAAATATTACAACTGACGACAGTAAGGAAATGATAACAAATATATTGATTTAGTGATAATGAAAAGGAGTAATAATTACTGTTACCATAGTCATTACTATTGCCAGTGCTAGTACTATCATTATTAATCAGTGTTGCATTGATTATGAGTATGATTACTAGTAAAACTGTTATCGTTATTATTATTATGATTATCATTATTACTACAGGTATCATCTGTAGTAATGACATAGGTAATAATATTATTAATACTATTAAAATTATGGTGATGATGATGGTAAACATAACTATAATACTGATTGCCTGTGTCAAAGCAGAAACAAGAATTGTTTTGATGATACAAAAATAAATATGGTAACGGTGATAATGGATGTTCAAATTTTATCCTACATACGTGATTTCAGAAACTTTACTCTTGCAAGCATAGATGATGATTCAAATCTACAATTTGAACTTGCAATATCATTTACACATCTTGTATTGGAGTCTTTTAAAATGCAAATATATTAAAGAAATGAACAGGTCTATATCACCAGAACACTCGGCTTCAGTATCAACAATAGTCTAATGTATGAGAGCAAGCGTGATGGCAGATCCATACACTAATGGCGGTAAAATCAGACGAGAACTTAGGGTTTACCGGTTTGCATTGCCGGATTGGAGGGGTCAAGTTGAGACAGTGTTCCTTTATCCTTTGCTCAGTCAAATAAAGGGTTTTATGCAAGTCATGGTTCAAAGCATTGTTTTTTTATGCAATAACCATCTAATGAGCTATGAGGGATTTGCTTCAACTGCATAACCTGCAATGGAGATGGTGATGGTGATAATGACGATGATTATAATGATTATGATTAGGAGTATTATTATTGTTATTATATTATTACTATTTTTTATTCTCAACCTCATCGTTATCTTCATTATCATCGCAATCCAGAATACAATGGGAATCAATAGAGCCATAAAAAAAAAATCACAACCATAATGAAGATGATATAGTAATACTTCATTAGAAACCATATTATGGTTAACATTGAAACTTTATACCGAGCTAAAAAAAAAATCAACACTTCTCTCAGAAAACTAATTTCCGTTGAGCGTTTAAATCCTCGTTATGTAAGCGTTTTTTGCGCTCTCACGTTACCGTTCTACTTGGGGTAAAACCAAAATGATGAATAGACAAGAAAATGGCTAACATAGCCCCCCCCCCCCCCCCCCCCCGCGCCCTTTAAACATAAGGGAAACAGCAACACGGAAGTGTTATTCACATTAATAGATACTTGATATCGAACAAACATGTCACTATTTTTGCAATCAGGAACCTGTCATACACATCATCAATCAATAGAACGGGTTTCACGATTTGTCTTTTAGTACTTTGCGAAAATCTGGTTCAGTGAAGATAATGATCATGATAATGATAATGACAATTGCAAAAAATAGAGGACAATAAAATTGGTGATATCAACATTCCTAAAAAAGCGAGTATATATTATTTAAACGACAGATACCACTGTTCATAATGAGAGGTTAATAAGAAAAGGAGGTTATGAGCATTGCAGATATTTTTAAATATACTTATTTACAAAAGTTATACAAGCAATAAATAATAATGCGGTCTGTCGTGCATTTCGTAAGGAGAGGGCTTGTTGGACGATTCCCTGCCGAAGAAATCGTTTAAGCGTATGAAGGGGTCGGCTTGTAGGAAGGCTGTGGAGCCGCGCGTAATGGGCCTCTCCCTCGTAGCTGACCTCGGCCACGAAGCCAGAGTCGCCGTTGACGGAGTAGTGACCTTCTGCAGACGACCGTCGGGAAGGAGGACGTAGTAGGAACCCTGGGCACCGTAGCCATTGCGATCCTCCTGGTGACCGTAGTTGTTAGAGTAGTCGTCCTTGACAGCGTAGTTGAAGTCGTACTTGCCGGGTGAGGAAGGCGCTGAATAATCATAGCCTGGGGTCTCCTCAGGGCGGGCGAGAGCCATGGCCACGAAGGCGAAAGCAAAGATGAACTGAAAACACGAAATAAACAGATCACAATACACATATTGTAGAATCCAATACCGCATGAAAACGAATAAAATGTCTTATACGAGCAAAAGAAATGTAAGTCTTTGCATAATCCCTTCAAGTTTTTGTGCAATGAGAGAAGATATGACTACCTTAGCAAACATGTTGAGGAAGATGCAGAAATGGTGATGTAGTCTGTGAGGGCGACCTGCTATATATACTGCAAAGAAGTCGTAAAACTGGGTTTGAAGGACGCGCTTGAATGTAGTCAATGTTAATCTATTTATATCGCGTTCTTGTCTTGCCTTTTAGTAGCAGATTACCAATGTTTGTCTAAACGGCGTGTCATGAAAAAAAAAAAAAGTTTTCAAATTTTAGTCTTTATAGAGCACTTAAAATTATTAAATATTTCATAGTTGCTTCCATTTTAATCTTTAGGTTATCACACATCTTTTTCTTTCTTTAATATGGAGAAAATCAATTGCTTACAATCTAAAGTAAAGTTACAAAGTTCGAGTTTTGAGTAAAAGTGATGGTCATTACACATACCATGCATCCAACTACATTATGTCTATTTACTCATAGTTAGATATATCTATCTTAACACACATGCGCATACACTCATATACACGTATATATATATATATATATATATATATATATATATATATATATATATATATATATATATATATATATATATATTTATATTCATATATATATAATGTACATATATATGTTTGTGTGTGCGTGTGTGAATTTATACACATACACACACACGCAAACACACACACACACATATGTTATACATACATCTTTGGATATACATATATATATATATATATATATATATATATATATATATATATATATATATATATATGTATTATAGATAGATAGATAGATAGATAGATATAGATATAGATATAGATATATACATATATGCATTTATGTATATATACACATATCGATGTTTGTGTGTATTTATATGTACTAAACTGGTTGACATTCAAAAGTCCGCCAACCTATGCACCTGAGGAGGGCCGGATTTTCGAAAAGAAAAGAAAAATATATCCATATGTATCTATAGATACATGATGGAACAGGAAGTTTATTTAACTCTTCATTCTGTGAAATCGTGATTTCTCCCGTTTTTATTCTAACCAAATTAGGCTCTAAACCTATTACCATTCGGATATATAGAAAGTATACACAGAATATAAGCCTTTCAATATACCCGAATATAATTACATTTTAGTGAAAAGATGGCTATAAAAAAAAAAAAAAAAAAAAAGTTTACTGAAATGACAAATGACAAAGCCAATGTTCAGTGTTGTGGAAAAGCGGTTGTTCAAAGGAGTTTAGTATTGACTTTTCAGCCACAAACATTGCATTATTATCACAAATATTACAACTGACGACAGGAAGGAAATGATAACAAATATATTGATTTAGTGATAATGAAAAGGAGTAATAATTACTGTTACCATAGTCATTACTATTGCCAGTAGTACTATCATTATCAATCTGTGTTGTATTGATTATGAATGTGATTGTAAAAACTGTTATCGTATTATTATTATTATGATTATCATTATTACTACAGGTATCATCTGTAGTAATGGCATAAGTAATAATATTATAATACCATTAAAATTATGGTGATCATGGAAAAAATAACTATAATACTGATTGCCTGTGTCAAAAGCAGAAACAAGAATGTTTTGATGATAACAAAAATAATATTGGTAACAATATTGGTAACGGTGATAATGGATGTTCAAATTTTATCCTACATACGTGATTTCAGTAACTTTACCCTTTGTAAGCATAGATGATGATTTAAGTCTACAATTTGAACTTGCAATATCATTTACACATCTTGTATTAGAGTCTTAAAATGCAAATATATTAAAGAAATGAACAGGTCTATATCACCAGAACACTAGACTTCAGTATCAACAATATTCTAATGTATGAGAGCAAGCGTGATGGCAGATCCATACACTAATGGCGGTAAAATCAGACGAGAACTTAGGGTTTACCGGTTTGCATTGCCGGATTGGAGGGGTCAAGTTGAGACAAAGTTCCTTTATCGACTTTGCTCAGTCAAATAAAGGGTTTTATGCAAGTCATGGTTCAAAGCATTGTTTTTTTTATGCAATAACCATCTAATTATGAGATATGAGGGATTTGCTTCAACTGTATAACCTGTAATGGAGATGGTGATGGTGATAATGATGGTTATGATGATTATGATTATGAGTATTATTATTATATCATATTATTATTATTTTTATTATCAACCTCATCGTTATCTTCATTATCATCGCAATCCAGAATACAATGGGAATCAATAGAGCCATAAAATAATCACAATCATAATGAAGATGATAGTAATACTTCATTTGAAACCATATTATGGTTAATCATTGAAACTTTATACCGAGCTACAAAAAAATTCAACACTTCTCTCAAACTAATTTCCGTTGAGCGTTTAAATCCTCGTTAATATGTAAGCGTTTTTGCGCTCTCACGTTACCGTTCTACTTGGGGTAAAACCAAATATGATGAATAGACAAGAAAAATGGGTTAACATCCCCCCCCCCCCCCCCGCGCCCTTTAAACATAAGGGGAACAGAAACATGGAAGTGTTATCGCATTAATAGATACTTGATATCGAACAAACATGTCAATATTTTTTGTCAATCATATTTTTGCAATCAGGAACCTGTCATATACATTAATTCCATCATCAATTGAACGGGTTTCACGATATGTCTTTCAATACTTTATCAAAATCTGGGTCAGTGAAGATAATGATCATGATAATGATAATGATAATTGCAATAATAAAAAAATATAAAAAATAAAATAAATAAAAAAAGACAATAAAACGTGATAGCGTTAGTACAAAAGCGAGTATATAGATTGTTTAAACGAACAGATAACACTGTTCATAATGAGAGGTTAATAAGAATAGGAGGTTATGAGCATTACAGATATTTTTAAATATACTATTTACAAAAGTTATACAAGCAATAAATAATACTGCGGTCTGTCGTGCATTTCGTAAGGAGAGGGCTTGTTGGACGATTCCCTGCCGAAGAAATCGTTTAAGCGTATGAAGGGGTCGGCTTGTAGGAAGGCTGTGGAGCCGCGTAATGGGCCTCTCCCTCGTAGCTGACCTCGGCCACGAAGCCAGAGTCGCCGTTGACGGAGTAGGTGACCTTCTGCAGACGACCGTCGGGAAGGAGGACGTAGTAGGAACCCTGGGCACCGTAGCCATTGCGATCCTCCTGGTGACCGTAGTTGTTGTTAGAGTAGTCGTCCTTGACAGCGTAGTTGAAGTCGTACTTGCCGGGTGAGGAAGGCGCTGAATAATCATAGCCTGGGGTCTCCTCAGGGCGGGCGAGAGCCATGGCCACGAAGGCGAAAGCAAAGATGAACTGAAAAACACGAAATATAAACAGATCACAATACACCTATTGTAGAATCCAATACACGCATGAAAACGAATAAAAATATCTTGTATGAGCAAAAGAAATGTAAGTCTTTGCATAATCCCTTCAAGTTTTTGTGCAATGAGAGAAGATATGACTACCTTAGCAAACATGTTGAGGAAGATGCAGAAGTGATGTAGTCTG